ACAAATAACAACAATAATGCTTTAATACAACAAGCAAATGTTGTGAGTTCCACAACTGGGAATAAAAGAAAATACCAAACTCCATGTTAATGTTATCTTCATTGGTAACAACTATGCTAGACAATGGTATTTACTATGATTTAACAGATATGGTGAAAACGATAAATGGACTTTTCATTTGGTTGAATTGGTTAAAAAAATTACAACATACTTTCACATTACTTTACATAAACAGTAAACATGTCACACATTTAGTTACTTATAAATAACGTCATATTTTTAAAGTAGTCAACTAAATTACTTTATTACTAACATAAATCTCTAATAATACTGCAAATGAGTCGTTTTACTATATTACTACCACAGACTGTAAAATCCATGCACAAAAAAATCACATAAAAGTTTACTATTACTTAAAAAAATACTATGCTATACTATAATTGTTCATAGACAATAGTATGTTGCTCATATTATAGCAGTACGATATGGCTGTATATCGGCACTGGTGGGAGGTGTGCGTTGTGCCTTAGTGCCCCAACTAGTGCCGATATACAGCCATATCACACTGCTACGAGTGTGATATTGCGTTTATACAAGTTTGACAGCATAATTGTGTGTATAATACAAAATCAAACATGGAGAGTCTTAAAAACCCTTTTGTATGAGGAACTACTTTCTTCCGCGCATTCAAATCATAAGCTGACAGTTAAACAGCTGAGCAAGCATCTTTTAAACTGTAGATCTGTAGTGTCTGCTTTTTGCTGGCTGTATGTGGGCAGAGTACTACACAAAGGGTTAAGAGGCTGTATGGGTGCTGGTATTACTTAAATATATCACAGCTATCAGCCAATCAGATTCGAGAACCAGACAAAACTGTTGTATGTATACACACACACACACACACACACACACACACACAGGCATATATATCTGTGGTATTCTTTATGATTTAACATAAACACAGTAAGTATAAAATGTTAGTTGGTACTAAAGTAATATTAGATATCAGTCTTAAAAACTCCTTTTTTAACATAATTTTCAATAAAAAAGAACAAAATTAATATTAAGTAACAAACAAGTTGCTTAATATAAAAGTTAGTTACTCATATATTTTAAGTAATATATCGGTTTACTCTCATCACAGCAAATAAACCCCCAGAAAAGTCGACTTTAGATTCGCTCACTTATTTAAAGTGTACACAATTTGGAGTTGTCTTCTTCACTCACCGAGATTTGCAGCGGCTTGCTCGATAACTTTCTCCAGTTTGGGTTTGCTTCTGCCCGCGACGGCCCATTTCAAACTCCCCTTGGGACCCTCGGACGCGCAGCGAGACACTTCCTCCACCACAAACTGTCCTGTGAAGCCTGAAGCGCCGAAGATGATAATGTGGTAGGGTCTGCCGGGTGAGGTGCTGAACGCCGTCATGGCTTTATGGCTGTGGAGCTGCTGTCCGTTCTGACTGGAAGAGACAGACTAACTGCGAACATGCGTGCGTGAGAAACACCTGACAGTTCAACATTCTTCCGTAAACGCCTTTCAAATGTCCACTCAAGATGATTATCAGTGCGCAGCTCTGTATGCGCAGCTTCTGTTATAATAAGCAAAAAAATGATTTAGACACCCTGTGGAGGATTTGATCAACATATTCATAGAAATAGTTGTAATCACAAAAAAGTTTTATGTTTTAAGTGAAAGCACGTTGTATTGGCCGAATACGAAATGCGTCGATTAAACGCATGTGACAGCTAGAAAACAACAGTGCGGCATGTACCTGCCTCTCCATTCTGATTGGTCCATGCAGTTTGTGGGCGGAAGATGTTTTGGGATTGGAAGACTCTCAGCATTACTGTATAATAATATTTGTTATGTAATGTGTTTACATTGATTTTATTATTTCTATTTTCTATCGTTTAAATAGTAGCTACAACAATGTAGCTACAACAATACAAATATACACTACCTGACAAGTCTTGTCGTCGATTCCAGTTGTAAGAGAAAAAAAATATTACTTGACTTCTTGTTGATCATTTGGAAAAGTGGCAGAAGGTAGATTTCAATCTGTTGAACTGCATCCCAATCATCACAAATACTGCAGAAAACCTTGGCACCCACATAGACCCAGGATTCTCTTAGAAATCAGTCAAGTTTGGTGAAAGCAAAAATTATGGTTTGGGGTTACATATTCAGTGTGGTGGCGTTCGGGAGATCCGCTAAGTGGATGACAACATCAACAGCCTGAGGTATCAAGACATTTGTGCTGCCCATTACATCACAAACCACAGGAGAGGGCAAAATCTCCAGCAGGATAGCGGTCCTCATACTTCAGCCTCCACATCAAAGTTCCTGAAAATAAAGAAGGTCGAGATGCTCCAGGATTGGCCAGCCCATTCATCAGACATCAACAATATTGAGCATGTCTGAGGTAAGATGAAGCAGGAGGCATTGAAGATGAAACCAAAAAATCTTGATGAACTCTGGGAGTCCTGCAAGAACTCTTTCTTTGCCATTCCAGATGACTTTATTAATAAGTTATTTGAGTCATTGCAGAGATGTATGAATGCAGTCCTCCAAGCTCATGGGAGTCAGACACAATATTCAATATTTTTCCACTGCACCATGACTTTACATTCTATACTGGACATTATTCCTGTTAAGTGAGAAGACTTTTGTCTAGGCAGAGTCAGACCTTACTGTCGTAATTAAATCATTAAAAATCAAGGCATGACCATATTTTATTTTGGTAAAATAAGCGTAATCTAGAGGCCTTTGCCTTTGTCTTGCAAGTCTCAAACACAGCAGTTTTGCTGGCTGTCGGCTTAGTCAAACCGTGTTTGTTTACAATAAAATTTTGTCAGGTGGTGTGTGTGTATATATATATATATATATATGTGTGTGTGTGTGTGTGTAAAAATAATTATTAACAATTACTGTATTTAATAATTATTAGCCTAAAATCTTTTAAACATCATCTAAATAATAAATACAGACATTTCAGTCCCAGCAATAAGATTTATTCACCAGGTAAAATTTTTGGTCAAAGAAATCTCATTGCATTTAACTTTAAAATGTTCTCCCGAGACAATAACTAAGCAGACCTGAATACAATTAGGAAATACAACAATCATTACATGATATACAGGCCCGTACCCAGCCTGGTGAAAGGGGTGGTTCTTTTTTTCTCAAAAAGTAGACCTTTTTGCAGTTTTACTCTACAGTTTCTATTTAACTATGAGATATAAATACAGCATTTTAGTATTTTTTTTTTTTTTTTTTTTTTTGCTGGATTAGCTAGTCAGATGTCATCATAACAACACTTTTTGATGTAGGCTACTAAAAATATTTCATAAAAAACTGCAATAAAAAAATTAACAAGACTAATTTTTAAAATGCAAATTTATGATTAGGAATAAATAGCAATCTGTTAAGGTTTTAAAGTAAAAAGAAAAAACTGTAGCCTACTGTCATTTATTAGACAAAAAATAAAAAATAAAAAAACTGGCCAGCACATTTAACTGTCCTCAGTCACAATTTGGCCATTTCAATAAAAAATTATAATTCAAACATAATAATAATAATAATAATAATAATAATATATTAATAAAACAAACAATTATAATGAATTCTTCAGAGTTTTCTAGTCTCTTTGGTAAAAAAAGAAAGTACAGTAGAAAATTCCTGGATATCAACAATAACCAAAATATATTCAAATTAATCTAACATGGTCTGCTTCTGGTGCTTCACACAACCCTCGTCAGGCTCTCGGAAACTGACCTTTCTTTTGGACACAGGTTTGGGAGCAGCAGGAGCTGAGCTGTTTTCTCCTTCCAGAGAGACTCTCCTCTTCAAAAATGGACACGAGCCCAGCAGCTGGAGTGATCTGACGGACAGAAACACAGACAGACCACACGCTTTTCAGTCATTTATTTACAAATATCCGGAAAATATGTGCATAGATAGACTTTACCTGAAAATGCTGTACTTTTGGGCTGCCCAGGGTAAGGAGAAAAAGCATAAAGGCAGAACATTTCATATGTAAGATTTCGTTTTTTTTTATATATATATATATATATATATACATTCTTGTATGTTACAAACTTTTGTGCTAATCATGTAACTTGATGATAATACAGTCACTCACTGCACCATAATGCAAAGTAGCACCAACTCACACTAAACTCTAGGCTTATGGTAGTTTTGTTGAATAAAATCAGCAAACATGTAAATGAAATATGACAAGTGATGCCAAAAACTTTGTTGTCTAAGTGAAGCAACTGCTTGTTTTTGAAGTAACTTATAAGGGTGACTGATAATGATAACACAGTGCCTTCCCCTCAATGTGCATACAGTCCACCCTCAATAATTATTGAATATTACAAATGTTATTTAGATCAGAAAGGTGGTTGTGCCCATTGACGCAGGGATATTGATGGTTCAGACGAGTTGTTCATAACGGAGATTCATTCACAAACATATTGCTCTCTTTGTTAGAATTAAAAGTGAAAGCGGAAGAGGGGGGGGGGGGGGGGGGTTGCAAGACATGGGTTAGATCAAATTTAACAGGGAGGGAGGATAATACACATCCATGCACACAAACACACACTCTTTATCGGCATTACCTGTGTGGTCACTTATCCATCCATGAAAAGTGATGTAAAATTATAATTTTCATAATTTAAAAAAAATATTTGCATATGACCACCGGAAATCTGTCTATATCCATGTCTATATCTCCGGATGGCCAGGCCTCCACTGCATCTTGGTCCCACATTTATTTCAAAGAGTACTACCCTTTGAATGGCGGCTCTGATGACGCATTCCTTCCAATAGACAACAATAGCGTAGGTGACGTCTAATGTGAATATCTATAGATTTTATAAGCTGAGACTTTGTTACATATCATAAAATACAAAGCAAACAAAAACTGTATGAACATATGAGCAATACAAAATACATATCATCAGTAATATGAGACACACAGCTCTTAGCTTACATCTTGAAATACGGTTTGATATGTTCTTTATTTTGTTACAAACAAACAAGAACAGTATTCTGCAATCTTTCAGACAATTCACTGGTTTATTGGTCTCTAAAACATGTTTTTTTCTTCTCATTTCTTGCATTAGTGCAGTTCTGCAATAGGATTCACAAATCTAACAAATTACAATGACAAAAAAAAGCAGTGCTGGTTTCTTAAACCATTTTCTTTCAACCTTTGGGAGTGCTTGGAATATCTTTTTAAAGATGTCTGTCATCTGCGAGAGCTAGCATTTCTGTTAGTGATAAAAACAACACGATTAATATCCAATTTTTAAACGGAATCGGCTGATTAAATGGAAAGATTTGTGCAAAATTCGCAGTCATCAGAACAAAGTGCATGCTAATAAACCATCCCAGTGTGCGCAGGCCAGCACACTAAACTGGAAACAGCAACACTGTATAGGAAGCTCCATATAGCAACGAGATTTCTCTGCGTTCAATCAAGCAAACGATTAGATGCTTCAGAAGCTGAGCTGGTTGTGCGTTTAATCTCCCACTTAAATGACAGAGAACTCGATGCCATGTTTGTTGAGGCGTTTGATGAGGGTGGTCTTGGCAAATGTCGCTCCTGGAGTGTAAACACCGCCACTGTGGAGGCAACCAATAACAAACATTCAGGATTTGAATTTGTGTCAGGTTATGCGCTCACACTTTACAATAAGGTCTCATTAGTCTCATTAATGTTAGTTCATGCATTTACTATCATGAATTAAGAATGAACGATACTCATACAGAATTTATTAATCATAGTTCAACATTCACTGATTCATTATTAAAATGCGAATTCAGGCGTGTTAACATTAGTTAGTGCACCACGAATTAACATGTCAGCTTCTCTGTGTCTCATGGCAATCTGGCTAAACGACACCATGGCGGACAACGCTCTTCACCTACCGGGCTATCAGCTGTTCAGAGTGGATCGTGACAAAGAATCGATGCGGAAATCGCAAGGTGGCGGGACGTGCTTTTACATCAATAAAAGGTGGTGTACAGATGTAACAGTTTTACAAAAGATGTGCTGTTCAGATCTAGAGGCACTGTTTATTAACTGTAAGCCTTTCTACTCGGGTTTGAGAAAACCCCCCACACCCACTCTGAACAGCTCTTCATGCCACTATTAACACCTCCACAACCCCCTGCCTCCCCCATACCTGCACTTCATTTCAGTGAACATGATGTGCGCCAGGTCTTTCGGAAACAGAAGAGGTAAAAAGCACTAGGCCCAGATTTAATAACACCAGCCTGTTTAAAATCCTGTGCTGACCAACTGGCCCCCATCTTCACCCTGATCTTCAACAGATCACTGGAGCTGTGTGAAGTGCCCTCCTGCCTCAAACGTTCCACCATCATCCCCATCCCAAAGAAACCCAATCTTACAGGACTAAATGACTACAGACCGGTGGCGCTAACATCTGTGGTCATGAAGGCTTTCGAAAAACTGACCCTGGCCCACATGAAGGACATCACTGAACCCTCACTGGACTCTCATTAATTTGCCCACAGAGCAAACAGGTCTGTGGATGATGCGGTCAATATGGGACTGCAGTATGTTCTGCAACACCAAGACAGACCAGGGACCTATGGGAGGATCTTGTTCGTTGATTTCAGCTCGGCTTTTAACACTATCATCCCAAAATTTCTCCTGCCCAAATGAACTCAGCTCTCTGTGCCCACCTCTGTCTGTCACTGGATCAACAGCTTTCTAATGGACAGGCAGCAGCTGGTGAAGCTAGTAAAAAATTCTCATCCAGTACCCACAAAATTAGCACTGGCGCCCCCCAGGGGTGTGTCCTCCCCTCACTACTCTTCTCCCTGTACATGAATGACTGCACTTCAAAGGACTCCTCTGTCAAGCTCCTGAACTTTGCAGACAACACCACACTTATCGGCCTCATTCAGGACGATGGCGGGTCAAACAGGAGGTTAAGGAGCTGGCTGTCTGGTGCAGTCACAACAACCTGGAGCTCAAGATGCTCAAAACAGTGGAGATGATAGTGGGCTTCAGGAGAAACCCCCCTGCTCTCCCCCCACTGAGCATCATGGACAGCATTGTGGCAGCAGTGGAGTCATTCAGGTTCCTGGGCACCCCCATTTGTCTGGACCTGAAGTGGGACACTTACATTGAGACCAATGTCAAAAAAGCTCAACAAAGGCTGTACTTTCTTCGTCAACTGAGGAAGTACAGCTGCTGAAACAGTTCTACACCTTCATTGTTAAATCAGTCATCTGCACCTCAATAACTGTCTGGTTTAGCTCAGCTACCAAATCCGACCTCCGAAGACTACGTCGAATAGTTCGGACTGCTGAGCGAATCATTGGTACAACCCTCCATACTCTCCAAAAAATGTACTTATTTAAAGGGAGAAGGAGGGCAGCCAAAATCACTCTGGACCCCTCATACCCAGCACACTGCATCTTTGAACTTTTCCCTTCTGGTCAACGCTAAAGAGCACTGCGCACCAGAACAGCCCAACACAGAAACTGTTTCTTCCCTCAGGCAATCAATCTCATGAATACTTGATGATAATTGTGAAACCAACCTCACTACTTGATATACACGTTTTATAAACATATCCACTTATTTAACAACACACTTTACATCATATCTGTCAACCCTCCCGTTTTTACCGGGATTCTCCCGTATTTTACTGTTCTATCCTGCTATCATCCTGTAAAAGTATTTTCCCATACTTCTCCTGTATTTTCAGTCTTTCTCTGAACAGCCGATCCTCCCTATACTCAACCATACCGCCGAACCAACAGGGGTCGCCCCTTGCTCTAAAACGTGAGCCTTCTGTGCTTTCGCTTAGTTTAGGAATGAAAACTCTTATAAATAAATATAAAAAATGGCGCAATTGCATTTCCTTTTGATTACAGGTGCCGTCGCCCATCCTATACAATCCTCAAAACAGTCATATAATGGTTGGGGGAATCCCTTATTACGGTGGGCATATCCCTTATTTTCACATCCCAATGTTGACAGGTATGCTTAACATGCCAATTTACAGATAACAGTTGCACATGTAACATTATAATAAGTAATATACCTGTCCATACACTTATATATTACACTTATTATATACTATATTTGCATTCACTTCTTACTTCTAATTTTAAAATATATTTATTATCTGTTTTTTGTCCTGTCTCTGTAATTCTGTTGCACTGTAGAAGCTCTGTCACGAAAGCAAATTCCTCATATGTGTGAACATATTTGGCAATAAAGCTCTTTCTGATTCTGTTATGAAAGCAACACAATTACATTTTTATGCAATTTATACAAAATCAAAGCATTTTTCAAAATTAAAATTCAAGCATTTTCCTGTACGAACTCGGTTTAATGATGTGCGTGATGCATGATGTGTGCAAAATCTCATTATAAAGTGTAAATAAGTTGGCAGAGCTCACGTTTGTGGAAGGGAGTCTGGTTCATTCAACATAGTAATGGCTGCTTGAACCATAGTGATCGGTGTGGTGACATATCCTATCTCTAAAAAACAACACACACAAAATAGATTTTAGAATTAAGAATTGAATCAGCTTTTCGTCTTTGCTAATATGAACTAATACAGTACCTGGTCCTTTGACCTCAGTACGGATCTTGCCATTGGGTTTGCCCTTGCTGGGGTCCTGGCCTTCAGTGTAACCGTCTCCCAAACAGATGAAGTGGAAAGAAGCGTCCTCTATCTGCAGTGCGCATATTACATTTACATGATAGAATTGTGATCTTGCAAGATAATATAACAGATAATCTGACCTGTTTTTTAGTAGGACCCTCTGTGGAGAAGAGGCCGAATGAGAAGAACCCTGGATACTGTGGGTTGAAGTATAAATGTGAATAAGATCCCCAAACGACATCGACTTTAAAACAAATGCAGTAATGTGGATTCCACACATCCATATGTTTTACCTTAATGAGGAGTTTTCTGCCACAACTGCACAACGCAAGCAAACAGAACATAAATCCACCGATGAGAAATTTGAAAACGTTGGAAATCCCACCAATACCTGCGTACGCCCCGTACTGAACCTGTACACACAAAATAAAAAACAATATGTATGACAATCAAATTCATATTGCAGTAATCGTAATTATAGTGTTAAATCAAGAAAGATGCCACAAGTCTAAAAGGAAAATGACCCTATAATTTATTCTTAAGGCATCCTCAGCGTATACACTGAAAAACTGATTCATTGCATTTACTCAATTTCTTAAGGAAAGTGGTTGCAAACAATTTATTTGGACTGAATTAAAACAAAGTTGAACATTACTTAATTTAATTTGTTTTGTTTAAATTTAGCCCATATAAACTTTTTTTTCAGTGTAGGACGCTCTTCTTTCAGATTGTATCCTGTCCCTTTCATATTGTAGAATTGTGTTGGGTGATGTCCACTTTTTTTAAAGCTTGCAAAAGTGCTTAAATCTGTTGTAAAACTAACCTTTAATGCATCTCTTATGAAGCGGATCAACGTGTTTTGCAACAAAAATATTTCAAAATGTTAAATTATAAACTTCAAGAGGCTGCTTATGTGCATTTTGGACAACTTCTTGACTGATCGTTGGCTCCACATGACACATGTTTGTTTGTTTACCACAGAAGACAACAACAAATAAGAAAACTTGTTGGCTTGGCATTACGTTATGCAGTAAACATAAATGTTATAATCAGGGCTTAACATTAACTTTTTAACCACCAACCAGCCACTGTGGCTAGTAGTTTTTCAACATTACAAGCCACTCGTCATTTTCACTAGCCACAATTTGCATTTTAAATGCATACATTTGAGTTTGGCATGCCTAAAATGAGTTAATTTACATTTTGCATTATGTCCACATGAGTCCTCATTCATTTCACTTTTTGTGTGTTCTATGACCTTGCTCAGTGAGCATGAGCAAATGGTTTGTGTTTTCATAGTGTCTTTGCAATTAGCTATTGTTTCACAAGACTTTTCAGGGCTCAACACTAAGGATTTACCTATTTTTTCCTCTGGCCACACCACAAATAAACAAATAAATTAACAATTTCTCAGTTACAAATTTTAAATAATTATTTTTTTTAAAACAAGCAAAATATAGCTGTATAACTTTTTACTGAACAAGTAAAAAGTGTTTTCAGTGTTTTTACTGAACACTTTTCTTTAAAAAAACAATTGACTTTTTAAAAATAATTATTTTCAAAATTAAATTTTTCTCTAGAATTGTATTTGTTGTATGGTGGAGTAGAGAACCCCCACACCAAACATTTGTTTTTAATTTTGGTCTGTCTGGCAAAGAAATGTATACTTTTATTGTCGTCATCTCCTCAGGTGCCTTCCTTTCAAATGTGGTCGTCTCAAGTATGTGTGTTATTTCCACTTGAGAAACTCACTTATGATATACATCAAAAGTCAGATGACTTCTGGCAGCTATGGACACCTTTTTGGCATTACATCAATAATTTATCCTGAATTTCTATTCTATGGTATATATTTTTTGCTCCTAGCTTGACTGTATTTCCATGTTTACTTGTTTGTATGTGTACCCCTTTTATTATTTTCATATACCGGAGTTTCATTGAGTTCTTCATGCAGATAACGCTGGGTCCTTTTCACCACTGATGGATCTGTGCCCATGAAGGGAATTGCATACTGCTGTACCTCACTACTGTAAAACAGCAAACCCCTGGAGAGAGAGAGAAATTCAAGTTTTGCACATTAATCCTTGCCTATAGATCATCTACACAGCCATTTAAAATGCATAGATATACCAGGGTTTCTGCTGGCTTCACCAAGTCAAATTTAAGACCTTTTTAAGACCATTATGAATAAAATTTCAGACTTATACAGGGCTAAGCTCTAAGGATTTTTTTTAATGGCTAGGTTGGGTCAGTGGAATTTTTTTTACTTGCCCCATTTAAAAAAAAAAATGAATTTTTTTTAAGCCCCGGTTAGATCACACAATTTTTATTGTCTGTTACAAAAGTCAGTGTGTCAGATTATGCGATTTTTTTCGTGACAAAATCTTGACTCGTCATGGGTAACAAATGTGCCAGACTACACATTCCTTCACCATCCGTCATCCCGTGACATCTACGACGAGCATTATTTCCCAATGCAGTCACAAGTGTTGATATAACAATATTTCTTTTTGAAACAAATTTCGTTTGTTATAATGAATTTATCTTAATTCTTAATTCTAATGTTTCTTAATTCTAATGTATTTTTTGTTGGTCAGTTATCTACTAGATATACAAGAATATCGAAAAACCTTTGAGGTGAAGTGCTTCAAAACATGTCCGCTATATGCTTCAGTGCCAAAACACGAATTGTCATGAGATTTTGTTGCTTTGTTAAATAAAATAATAATCTACCTTAAATAAAATTAAAGTGAAATATTCACAATTTCAGAGAAGCCTACATTAAATTGTCTTCACTCTTAATGACAAATTTGAATAAGCAGAACAGGCTTTTAATATGTATTTGCAGCACTAAACAGGTTTCCGGATTACCTCGGAAGAACAAACTCTGAGAGAAGGATGAGAGAACTCAAAAACTGGTTGTGAGATGTCTGCATTTTTGCGCCAGTCTGTCAGATACAATTGCTTAAAACGCCTTAATATTTTAGAAAAATAGTTATAACTTGCATAACCAATGATTGATCTTATCCACCCGTGACCCAGCCACCCATAAGTAAATATCCAGCCTATTTTTTTTATTACCTGACCGGTGCATTAACGGCAGCACTCGCTCAGATAACGAGAAATTCTGTGCTCCTAATGCACAGTGTCACCCATGTGGCGGAACTTGTCATGAAGAACGAGAAAAAAAATTAAACATGCTAGACTTTCTGCGATAGTGTCGTGAGGCATCGCAGGCATGGTATTGGTTGTCGTAAATATGCCATATTACACGAGAAGAAACAATTGAATCTTGTGTCACGATGCTCATTTGTCGTTTACGAATCCTCACAAGACCCAATGTCAAGGAAATCATGCCAAAATCGTGCCAAAATCATGTGATCTGACCGGGGCTAAAAGTTTATTTGAGATGGATTGCTGCTGATTGGATGGGTGTTGGCCAATTGGGTAGCTTTACATGGACATAGTAAAATTAAGACCGATTTAAAATATTTAATGACCAACCAGGCAATATTTCAGTACATTATAAACTTTTTGCTTTTGAATTTTAGACCTTACAGACAACTCAAAATATAGTTTATTTAACAAGGATGCTTATAGTCCCTGTAAAAAGAGGAGGAGCTACTCTTTGTCCCACCTTGTCTTGGTGTTTCAGTTGAAAATACGCCATACATCTAACAAAAATACACATTTTCAAAGCACTTCACAGGACCTTTAAATTAATTGGGTAAAGAGAGGCTAAAAAGGGTCATAAAAAGCTGCATCTTTGGTGCAAAACCCTGTACTGCAAATACATATGAAACAAAGTCTGTTTGCTGTTGCTGTACACACTTCCGTTTGATTTTTGGCCCGACCACAAGAAGAGGCTTGTGACCAAACTTTTTCCTGAGGGTTTTCAACTTGCCCTTGTCTGCTAAACCATAGATGGCAGACTGCCAGGTACCATCATTAAGGCAGCCTCCCTGTGGACACATGATGTGGATCAGCTGAGATTAACTCATAAAGGCTTTGAAAAACATTGATTTTCAAGTGTTCAGATCTTTAATTCTTCTGGATTTTAGGTTTAAAACACAAAAAACACCAACCTCTGGGCCTGAGCCTAGAGTCAGAAAGCTGTCAACTGCTGTCAGTGTCCCTGAAAATAAAATAAACAGCATTCATATTATTTCAAACATTTCACTTAGATGTCAAATTAATGTATATATAATAAATGCTTATGAGGAGTCTTATGTGGCTTATGTAATCATGAAAAAGCAGCAAAATAACTGAACACTGAAAACTTCCGAGCACCAAATCCGAACAATCAGAACAATTTCTGAAGGATCATGTGACACTGAAGACTGATGTACTATCACAGAAAGAAGTTACATTTACAGATATTTGAAATTGTTTTAATAGATCACAATACTGGGGTTTTACCTGTATTTTTAATCAAATATTCTGCCTTGGAGATATCAAGAGACCTTTTTAAAAAGTAAAATAACCCTTAATTGATCCAAACATTTGACCTCCAGTATCGTTTGCTACAGATTATTAATAAAGTATAAAAAGTGTAATATAATATAATATAATATAATATAATATAATATAATATAATATAATATAATATAATATAATATAATATAATATAATATAATATAATATAATATAATATAATATAATATTTGCCAAACATACCTTTGAACTGGTCGCGGGTGTAGATGACACCCATGTCTGCAGGAATGGAGTCGAAACCACAGCTTCCCACAATGTAGACCCCCTTATCAGCAGCCTGGTCATGGTAGTTTAGCTGCATCCCCTCCAGAAACTAAAACCAATATGATGTTCAACAAAACTATCAAAACAGAGCCCATTTATATGATACACATTGCCAATTGAGATATTTTATTTAGTGTAGACAAATAAATATGACACTAAAACCACTAGTGTGTGTCTGTTATGGCATTAAACACCCATTAAAATGATTCGTTCAAAATAACTGAATTATTTAGAAATAAAGCAAGTGTTTCTAAATGCATCGAGTCCCTGACAAATAGTTAAATTTGTGCTTATTGAACGATTATATGCCGCTAATATTTACTGTATGAAGACGGTGCTCTTGCTTGAGTGATATATTTCCTTACTATATCTTACAATTAGCCACATTTATACAAAGAATATTGCTGCACCCGAAAACTGCTTATTTCACTACAATATAGCACATGAGAAACATTAAGTGAGCGATTGTGTTCAAATTCATAATATTCAAAAAACAGTAGGAGAGAAGTAATGCATGACCTATTTCTTCCACTATTTCTTTACCATCCCATAAGGCCATGTGACAGGAATTATAAATGGGAATGAAGCAACGCAACTGACATCGTAAAACATTTGAAGAAGACAAAATTGCAGATGTAGAACATCAGAATTCCAATTCTCATTATTACTCATAATAATACTACATAGAACATACTTTTTCAACGGTCGCATCATCAGTCGATCATGTTGGAGAAAACTAATGTGAACAATATCACTGACCTGAATGAATATAGCATTTTTTGCTGATTATTGCTTCTGGAAATGAATATGATATAATATTGTAATCTTTTGGCCTGTACTAATTGGTTGAACCAGAAAAAAAAAAAAAAAAGAGTACTAAAGACCCAAAAGTTATAACAAATTAAGCAGATATAACAATAAAACCTTTTAAATTCAGTTTGTCAATATATTATATCCTTTTTGCTTACTCAGACCTTCTCTATATAATTTAGCACCTTACATATGTTTTTACATCATTTACACAGATTAATAAGCAGACCAATGTATCTATAATGGCCACGCATACCGGTAACTGACAAAATTGCAGTGCAAGTGAAAATACTCACTTTTAATCAAAATGGCTTTTAAATAACTTTTCTTTACCCTCATTTGTTACATATCATACAGTATGTCTCTCAGGCAAATATTACTAATATACATATTATTGAAATAAATAGGTTACGATGACATCGGGATGACTGAAAGATAGTTTCGATCTTTAATGAAAATAAATAAGTACTGTAAATAAATAATATAAGTGTCAGAGTGTCAGGAAAAGCACCTGTGGTTCTCCAGAGATATCAAGGCAGTGAGCTCCGTTCTCCACACAAGACTTGACAACAGATTCACCAAAAAACCTATACTGTAAAAATAAAAATAAGTGTAGGTAAATAAATCTAAAAACTTTTTTCTTCAGCATAGATTTCTGCACTGATTTCTGAAGAATTATGTGACACTGAAGACTGGAGTATTGATGCTGAAAATTCACAACAAAAGGAATTAAGTTACACGTTAAACTATATTATAACTAGGCCCACACGAAATCTGTGTGCAGAAATCCGCAGATTTTTAGCCCATCATTGATTCTATTTATTTACTTGTGTAAATTTAAATTCATTCAGTTTTTAATTTATTTTCAGAAATATTATTGACAAATATGAAAGTGTTCATTTAATTTATTTACAATAAAGTTTAGTCATATTTATAAAGTCATATTTTCTGTCTTTCAGTAGATGCAATATATGAGAGGTTTGCTTTGTTTACAAAATAAGTGGATCTAGAAAGATTTGCAATATAAACATTAAATAAAAGTTAAAAAACAATATTATTCTTCATTTCATTTATTAAGTTTTTAGTTATAATACTTCCAAAATAATTCCACATAAATCTGCAGATTAAAAAAAAAAAATTCTGCAGAAATAGCTAAAAATGTTCACAGATTCCGTCTGGCCCTAATCATAACTAAAATATATTCTAAATTGTAATTTTTTTATATATGTATTTCATATTCAGTGTTGGGGAAAGTTACTTTACAAAGTAATGCATTACAATATTGAGTTACTCCACAAAAAAGTCACTTTTGAGTTACTTTTTCATACATGCCGACGGCTTGATCTCTTTCAGAACTAAACTAATTAGAGTTAACTAACTAATAGAGGAGCTCTGCATTTTATGACACACGGTATAACATTCATTTACCTTAAAAAAAACGAATAAAACATGTAATAATGTTCATTCATTCATTCATTCATTCATTCATTTTCTTGTCGGCTTATTTCCTTTATTAATCCGGGGTCGCCACAGTGGAATAAACTGCCAACTGATCCAGCACGTTTTTTATGCAGCAGATGTCCTTCCAGCTGCAGCCCATTTCTGGGAAACATCCACACACACTCATTCACCCACACTCATACACTACGGACAATTTAGCCTACCCAACTCACCTTTACCGCATTTCTTTGTAATGTGGGGGAAACCAGAGCACCTGGAGGAAACCCACGCGAACGCTGGGAGTACATGCAAGCTCCACACAGAAACGCATAAGCCGATGCTCGAACCAGCGACCTTCTTGCTGTGAGGCGACAGCACTACCTACTGCGCCACTGCATCGCCTAGTGAATAATGTTACCTCTGGAAAACTTCCTAACGCTATACATGCAGTATATACAGATTAATGAAAGTTGTTGTATCCCTTTGAATTATTGTCACTGTCCATTGAGACTATCCCTTTTTCTTCCATGTGTTCAGAATAATGAGAATACTTCCTCCACAGAAATGTAAGACTCTGCCATCTTGTTTTTTGTCTGTTCCCGCAGGAAGCACATTTACTCATTGAGTGTGATTTAACATGATTTCACTCTTTTTTAATTGAGCAAACTATTTTTAAAGCGTATTAATTAATCTAAAAAGTAAATCGAGTTACATTTTTAAATAAGGTAACTCAAAAATTACTACCTATTTTTTTAAAGTAATGCATTACTTTACTTGTTACTTAGAAAAGTAATATTATTATGTCATTTGCGTTACTTTAAATGCGTTATCCCAACACTTTTCATATTTTTTTAAATGCAGGAATGACTTACTATAGACTTACTGACACAAACTTTTGAATAATAGTGTACATATTATTTCACAATATGTACAGTTATCTAAAAAAAACCTGAAAAAACAATCCTCACTAATACGGTTGAAGTAAGAATTATAATAATTCATTAATACTAAGAAGAATTATTAGCCCCATTGTATATTTTTCCCCAATTTCTGTTTAACAGAGAGAAGATTTTTTCAACACATTTTTAAACATATTAGTTTTAATAACTAATTTCTGATAACTGATTTATTTTATCTTTGCCATGATGACAGTAAATATTATTTTACTAGATGTTTTTCAAGTTATTACTATTCAGCTTAAAGTGACATTTAAAGACTTAACTAGATTAATTAGGCAAGTTAAGGTAGTTAGGTAAGTCATTAAACAAATGAAGATTAATATTTACCTTAAAATACTTTAAAAAATAAAAAACTGCTTTTATTCTAGCTGAAATAAAAAAATAATAATTCTCCAGAAGAAAACAATACTATAGGAAATACTGTGAAAAATGTCTTGCTCTGCCAAAACCTTAATTTCCATGTTTGCTATACGTTGTTTTTCTTAGTTGAATTTACTTGGTGTGACAGGTGGCTGAATATGTAACATGTAACATATGTATGTGTAGTGTAAAGTGTGTTCTTTGTTCTTGGCTGTTGAACTATAAAAAAGGTTGAATTATAAAAAATAAAAAAAAAGAAAAATGTCTTGCTCTGTTAAACATCATTTGGAAAATATTTGAAAAAGTTAAATAAAACTAATAATTTTGACTTCAACTGTATAGGACATAAAATGTATTTATTTTTTTTCAAAATTGAAGATGATCTAAAAAGCCTCATGCAAGGCTCAAAGTACAAACTTTATTATCTTGTTATAGGAGAGCAGAATTGCACCACCACACATAATCACACACACTTATCAGCCTGATGTAGCAAGCTTTGCAAACATCATGGTGCTATATTTCAATAAATAAACGTATCATTACCTTATGCTTTATGACAAATCCACTATATAAAAAAGGCTGCCCCCACACACATAATAAGCGATTGAGGATGGTACTTACAGGCCCAACACAGCTGAGCACAATGACAGCCTGTTTGCACATGGCAGCCAGTGACTCCTGATCACTGACATCTGCAACTATAATATCCACCTCAGTCTTCAGCTCCGGTTTACCTGAGGACAAACATTTCAGACATCACACTGATTACAATATACTGCACGTTCAGTGTAATTATGCAAACAATACTGGGTTGTATTTAAGGCAAATTTATTCGTTGGCATGATGAATGCACTGAAGAGATGCAAAGATAGTCTAGATCAAATAAAAAAATATCATCAATAATTTAGTATTTTAATATAATAAATCTAAATATATTAAATATATGTATGTATATATATATATATATATATATATATATATATATATATATATATATATATATATATATATATATATATAATTTTTTTTTTTTTCAGTTGGCTACTGAACAAACCACTGTTGTCCAATGACTTGCCTAATTAAATAGTTAACCTAATTAATTGCACTTAAGGTGGATTGGAATGTCTTGCAAAATAACTAGTAAAACATGATGTATCATGATTGCATAGACAAAACTAATAAATATGTGCACACACACACACACACACACACACACACACACACACACACACACACACGGTTCATACCGCTATGGCGACCCTGGATTAATAGAGGGACTAAGCTGACAATTAAATGAATTGAATCATTTGGGAAACATTTAAAAAAGAAAAAAAAATGAAAAGGGGGCTTATAATTCTGACTTCAACTATATATATATATATATATATATATATATATATATATGTATATATGTAGATTACACAACCCAAAAGAAACAATGATAATAAAAAGGATAAGAGTTGTCTCTATATAGAACAAAAAATATGGGTTTTATTTTCTTTAATATTTTCACATTTATGAGGAAAAAGTGACGTTATGAATGTGACACTTTTCCGTTATGGATGTGACAGCTGTGAGATTGCCACTTGTGTTATTTTGGCAAATTAAAAAGAATAGTTTGAAAAACTGACAGATACATTTATGAGTATTTTTAAAGTACTGTAAAATACTTGCTTACAGAAACTGTTTTTGGGGTTTTTGTGTAACTTGGTAAAATTTTTTATTTTTTCATTCAAATGCAGGTTTATTAAACAGGATGGTCAGGCAAGCAATGATCAACACAGGAGGAAACAGATGTATGAGAACAATCCAGGGTCATAGTCAAAGGCAGGCAGATGGTCAGAGGCAGGCAGCAAACAGGATTAAACAAATAAACAAGGCAAGGATCAAAAACAAGGTAAAGCAAGACAAAATAAATGCATTGTAATGTCACTATACAGATAACAAGACTCAGCAATGTGTGTCTCAAAGTGAGCCATATATGTGTGTGTAATCAGTACTTGCAATCAGTCAGGATCAGGAACCGGTTGTGTGTGTATTGCATCACTAGGATCTGTAGTCCATAACATGGCGGATTTGTAGTTTTTGTGAGTTTGAATGTTTTTCAGCGACCTCTGGTGGTTAGATCGCTGGGGATCATGACATATATATATATATATATATATATATATATATATATTTTTTTTTTTTTTTAGCCAAACTAAAATAAATAAAACATTTTCCAGAGGAAGACAAAATATATGAGGAAATATATCTTTTTTTTCTGCTAAAGAAAACAACATTATGTGGTACTTTGACTTAAGCCTGTTATGGATGAATAAAAATGATGCTAAAGACATGAGCTGATGACAAGTCACTTTTCTAATGATTGATTAACTGAATTATTCATTCAAACAATTTATTCAAAACAGCTGATTCATTTTTAGCAAATAAATGACAAACCATGGAAAAAATCAATTGATTTGCTCATAATCACAATAATTCAAACCAAAGATGGACAAATACTTTCTATATTGACAGTAAGTCAATACCACATTTGCACTTTCATTGATTAAACCATCCCTGAAGACCAAGTATAAACAATGCAACATCCTATGAATATGTTACAGCAGAAAAGTATTACCTTCTCAAGATTAAGGATGATTTTGGTTTAGTTAAAAGCACTGAAGATCGAGTTCAGTCCAATATAAATGCGTCAGTGCAACCCTTCTAACATATTCAGATCTTTGCCAAGTTTGCCACTCCTACAGTTTACAGTTTCCTCTTGTACTTATGATAAAAGTAGAACAAAATTTAGATGCAGAATATGATTCAGTAGATCCCTTATATCAAAAATAAGAAAAGGTGAATGTTTACATCTTATAAGATAAAAATGTTCAATCTTTGGCTGTGTAATTGAAATACAGATTTTTTTGGCAGATTTTTAATTTTGCAGATTTTTAATGTTTTTTTATTTCAGTAATTGTATTTTTAAATAAAAATTATATGTGCTTTTATCACATTTTTCCCACTTTTAGCTTTTATTTATTTTCATGTTTGTACTTTTATTTTAGTTAGTGGCCATTACACTGAGAATTGATGCAATAATAATAACCTTGTCAAAGTACATGTCTTAAAATCTTTTGCAAACTTTAAAACCCAGAGGTATGATTTACAAATAGTATTTATTTGTATGCATTATAACCTTGCCATAAAGTCATACTAATTTGAATAAATGCAAAGTGATAAGACAATTCATATGAACTACAGACATAGGTCAACAATTCTTATAGATACAGCTCAAACTCAAATAGTTCAAATGATTTTTTTTCTCCTTGTATGACATTAACTGGACTGCAAAAACACTATGGGATCCTATGTTGTGGTCAAAAAACCTCTATTCCAAGACTAGAGATGTTGAAGTTATTATTTTGCAGAGCTGACAAAGTCAATCAGTGCAACCCTCCAACACTCACAACTTTGCCAAGTTTTGCCACTCCTACAGTTTATAATGTTTTTCAGATAAAAGAATAACTAAACTTAGATGGTAAATATGATACAGTAAACCTAGTAGACATGTTCAATCTTTGACTATTTAGATTGCAAAAATACTATAAAAAATACTATAACGGTATTCACTATGATTTACCAAATACGGTAAAAACAGTAAACGGTAAAAATTTGGGTGCCATGGTTTTGTTTTTGAGGTACAAGTAAACAATGTTGGGGAAAAAAAAAAAAAGCAGATTTTACTCCTAAAAAACGGAAAAGATAGCATAACACATACTTTCACATTACTTTACATAAACAGTAAACATGTCACACATTTAGTTGCTTATATATAACGTTATATTTTTAAAGTAGCCTACTTAATTGCTTACTTTATTACTAACATAGATTCCTAATAACACTGCAATTCATGAGTAGTTTTACTACTACCACAGACTGTAAAAACCATGCACATAAACTCACTCAAATATTAACTATTAATTAAAAAAAATATATGCTATGCTATAATTGTTCATAGACAATAGTATTCATTATGATTTTCCTGCTGGAAAAAAAAAAACAGCTTAAACCAGCCTAGGCTGGTTGGCTGGCTTTAGCTGGTCAACCAGCCTAATTTTAGAGGGGTTTGCCAAGTTCCAGGCTGGTTTCCAGCCTTTTCCAGCCTGGTCTTAGCTGGTCAGGCTCAAAAATGAACAGTTTTTGCTGAACAGCTGGTTTTGGCTGGTCATCTTCCAGTCTGACCAGCTAAGACCCGGCTGGAAATGGCTGGAAACCAGCCTGGAATGGCCAAAACCACTCTAAAACCAGGCTGGTAAACTGCCTAAAAGAAGTCAACCAGCCTAGGCTGGTTTAAGCGTTTTTTTCTCAGCAGGGTTGATAGAAACACAGTTAAAAACAAAGATAAGGCTGGCTGGCTGCCCGGTTTTGTTTTTGAGGTAACGTTACAAGTAAACAGTGTTGGGTAAATAAAATATAAGCCGAATTAAAAAAAAAAGGGAAAAAAAATAACGTAACACATAAGTTACTTTCACATTAGTTTAAATAAATAGTAAACATGTCACACATTTACTTATATATAACGTTAACGCTATATTTTTTAAGTAGACTACTAACATATTACCACATACTGTATGCTACACTGCAAATCAGTAGTTTTTCTATATTACAACCACAGAGTGTAAAAACCATGCAAAAAACTCATTTAAAAGTTTACTATTAATTTAAAAAACAATATGCTATGCTATAATTGTTCATAGAAAATAGTATTCATTATGATTTAACACAAACACAGTATAAAACAATGATAATGCCATGGTTGTGTTTTGATGTGCAAATAAAGAGTAATAACTTTTTAAAAAAACGTAATAACTTTATCACAATTTAAATCATATATCAGTGTTAAAACTCTTTTTACATGAGTTTCCATAAAAAACAACACAATTAATATGAAGTAACAAATAAGTTATTAGTTCCGTATATATTTTACGCAATTTATCACTTTATTCTCATTACTTAAACTCTGCAAAGTTGACTTTTGATTCGCTCACTTATTTAAAATGTACACAAATTGCAGTTGTTTTATTTACTCACTGAGATTTGCAGATGCTTGCTCGATTACTTTCTCCAGTTTGCTTTTGCTCCTGCCCGCGACGGCCCATTTCAAGCTCCCATTGGGTCCCTCGGACGCGCAGCGGGACACTTCCTCCACCACAAACTGTCCGGTGAAGCCCGAAGCGCCGAAGATGATAATGTGGTAGGGTCTGCCGGGTGAGGTGCTGAACGCCGTCATGGCTTTAGTGCTGTGGAGCTGCTGTCCGTTCTGACTGGAGGAGACAGACTACAGGGAGTGAGAAACACCTGACAGCTCAACAACCGGAGTTCATCAGTAAACGCCTTTCAAATGTCCACTATTACGCAGCCTCTGTTTTGATAAGCAAAAAAAAAAAAAAAGATAGATATCTACGATGTGGAAGGATTTCGTCAATACATACATATGTTTAGAAATAATTGTAATCACAAAAAAGCATTTACATTTTAAACGAAATGCACCGATTATACGCATGTGATACAGCTAGAAAACAACAGTGCGGCTTGTACCTGCCTCTCCATCTTGATTGGTCTACGCAGTTTGTGGGCGGAAGATGTTTTGGGAAGATCAGCGTTACTGTATATTTGTTTTGTTATGTAATGTGTTCATTGATTTTATTATTTCTATTTTCTACTGTTTGAATAGTAGCTACAGTACAAATGTTTCAAGTTGCATGAATGGAGTATTTAAATATAACTAACATAATATTAATATTTAATTATATTAATATATCCATCATGTATATTAAATTAAGAGGCTACTTAAAATGCATTTATTAGCCATGGGTTTGCATAAAATGCTATTTTATTATTAAATAAAGCACAGAAAATAATTTATTTTAAGTATTTTTAAAGTATATATATATATATATATATATATATATATATATATATATATATATATATACACTTTAAATATATATATTTATATATATATAAACATATGTACGTATATAAATATACATACATACATATACATATATATATATATATATATATATATATATATATATATATATATATATATATATATATATATATATAAATATACATACATACATATACATATACACATATATATATATATATATATATATAAATAAATAATGTATATGTAATGTATATAAATAATAATTAACAATTATTGAATTTAATAACTATTAGCCTAAAATCATTTAAACATCATATAAATAATAAATACAGACATTTCAGTCCCAGCAATAAGATTTATTCACCAGGTCAAATTTTTGGTCAAAGACATCTCATTGCATTTACCTTTAAAATGTTCTCCCGAGACAATAACTAAACAGACCTGAACCATACAATTAGGAAATACAGCAATCATTACATGATATATATTTACACAAAGTCAAAATCAGGTAAAACAAACACAAATAATCTCTGTACAGACAGTAAAAGAGTGCATGCACCAGAACGCGTGATTCTAAAAGACTCTGTTTTGCTTCAAATAAATACTGAAAACACACACAATAAGACATTCGGTTGTCGTCTGAACCAGCCAGACAACATACAAATAAAACACAAAATAAACTTCTACAGCTCTCCTCGAGTACTTGTCATCTACACATTACTGAACTTCATGTTGACATGACCGCGGTAAGACTGCTTCAAAATGAAACATGTTAAAGACAGACTCGGCAGAATAAAAACACAAGATGCATTAATGACAATAAGCAAAAAAGAATTAACAGGACATTTCATTTGAACACATGAGGGTCATGGTTTTATAATCAAAAAGTATTCAAATTATATGCTTACAATAGGACTTCAGATTATTAGTAAGAGACATGCCTGAGCAATCCATATGACATTCTCGTTCATGTACAAGTCTTATAAACTTTTCAATAATAAACACAGTCATTAACCAGAGGATTATACAGTCATATACCATATGAATCATAGTTAGCATAGTTACCGATCGTTTCGGCAAGAGACAAATGTATATATTTGGGTTCAGTTTTGCTCATTTAGATTACTTAAGTAATGTATTCCGATTACTTTTGGATTACTTTTTGCTTATTTAGGTAATGTAATCCGATTACTTTTGGATTACTTTTTGCTTGTTTACATTATTTATTTAGGTAGTGTAATCTGATTACTTTTGGATTACTTTTTGTTTATTTACATTACTTATTTAGGTAATGTAATCTGATTACTTTTGGATTACTTTTTGCTTATTTACATTACTTATTTAGGTAATGTTATCTGATTACTTTCGGATTACTTTTTGCTAATTTACATTACTTATTTAGGTAATGTAATCTCATTACTTTTGGATTACTTTTTGCTTATTTAGATTAGAAATTGTAGCTATTGCATGAAAATTGTAGTCAGTAACAATGTAGATTACTCAAATACCGTATTCTCATTACTTTTGGATTACTTTTTTGCTTATTTAATTAGATTACTAATAAATTGTAATAATTACATGATAAAATTGTAGTCAGTAAAAATGTAGACTACTACATTTAGTAGGTACTGCAAAATGATTATTTATGTTGCTTTTTTGCTTATTTAGATTATGATTAAATTACATTAATTGCATGATACTGTAGACTAATTAATTGGGTAATGTATTCTGATTACTTTTGGACTTCTTTCAGATTACTTTGAGTTTTTTTAGAATGCATACATTGCATGATAATAATTGTAGTCAGTAACAACATAGATTACATATTTTTATAACACATTCTGACAAATATAAGATTACTTTTAGCTTAATTAGATTAAATTGTAGTTATTACATGAGTTTAGTTGGTAACCATGTAAATCACTTGTTTTAGGAAAAGTACTCTGATTACCTTTGGATTACTTTTTTTGCACAAAATAATTTACATGGCAATTAAATTATGAGAACACCATAAATTGTAATACGATTATGCAACATGCATTATATCACTTCTATCACAAAATGACCATTAATCATGATATATATATATATATATATATATATATATATATATATATATATATATATATATATATATATATATAGTTGATGTCAGAATTATTAGCCGTGTTTAACGGAGAGATTTTTTTCAACACATTTCTAAACTCATCAGTTTTAATAACTCAATCCTAATAACTGATTTATTTTATCTTTGCCATGATGACAGTGAAAAATATTTTACTAGATATTTTTCAAGACACTTCCATACAGCTAAAAGTAACATTAAAGGTTTAACTAGGTTAATTAGGTTAACTAGGCAGGTTAGGGTAATTAGGCAAGTTATTGAATAATGATGGTTTGTTCTGCAGACTCTTGAAAAAAAATGTAGCTTAAGGGGCTAATAATTTTGGCCCTAAAATGGTGTTTAAAAAAATTTAAACTGCTTTTATTCTTGCCTAAATAAAAGAAATAAGACTTTCTCCAGAAGAAAAAATATTATCAAACATACTGTGAAAATGTCCTTGCTTTGTTAAACATAATTTGGGAATTATTAAAAAAAGAAAAAAAAAATTCAAAGGGAGGCTAATAATTCTGACTTCAACTGTATATATTTTTAACTAAAAGTAGTGACAGGTCAGTAACAGCTTTAAAAAAAGTAAAAATAGGTAAAATCCGCCTGATGGGTTGTTGTATTACGCACTCATGTGCAGTAACAAATAAAAATATATTATTTTCTGTGATTTTAGTCGCCATAATGTCTAAATTATTGCATAATCGACTGGAATATTATTTCCATTGATCTATATTATTAAAAAAAGTAACTATGATAACCAAGATTTCCCTCTTCTCTGACTGCATCTACACATCAATAATTCTTCAATATACACATATTGCTTTCCCCGTCCCTATAAACTTTATCCCATAAATCCATCCACAGAAAAATGCTACGTCCAGGCTACAGATGACTATGTCCATTATTATTATTATTAATATACCTTCAGTACCGTAATTTAAACAAATATAAGACCATAATCCGTATTAAGATCTGAGCTTTAAGACTTTAAAAATGAAGTCTCTTCAAATGAGGTTCAGTTGATGGCAGTAAACAGTGGGCTACTCGAGTCAAAAAAACTGGCCAAAGTGGTTTTTCCTGTGTTTACCACAAACCGGACGTCCCCACACAGACAGGGATCCTTCGGGCTTCTTCCAGCAAAGGCCTGTATATTTTATATTCTCTGTTGTCCTGCTATGAGCTCGGGGACAGCCAGTGTTTGAGTTCATCCATGCCACGCTGCACTCGTCCCACATAGAAGTCCATGTTGTGAGAGAAGTCTGTGCAAACGCTGGACTGAGTGTCTCCGAATGAGCAGTAAAGCGCGGTCCCGCCCACACTGATCACCACTGTAGCCAAACACAGCAGGAGGAGGAGCAGCCACGAGTCACCGGCCACCTCATCTGCATATTAAAGGAGGAGCAACAATAATATTGGATGAGAACACAGATGATGTGAATGCTGCAAAAAAATATAAGCTGTAATTTAAAGGTATAGCTCACCTTAAAATGAACTATTACTCACTACTTAGTCACACTCAATCGATTGATTGGTTTCTTTATATAGATGTTTTTATGGATGTTTAAACTCCTAGAATTTGTGCGTATTGCTTTGTATTTAATAGGCCTTTTCATTTTTGTTTGTATTTCCCTCTTGTTTCTTCTTATTTTTCTCATGCGTTTGCTATAAATTTAATTTATAATTCCCCTTTTGTTTAAAAATGAACTAGTTTGTAGAGACTGTATTCTGTTTTTCTGTTTTATTTACTGTAAATCTTTCGGTATTATAAATAAAAAAATGATGATGATGCCTTGTGATCGGTCATGATGACTGCAACAACTTTGAGCCCCGAAGTGTCCGGCTTGACAGCTCCGTTTCCCCCCCCCTTTGACTTTTATTCTAAATCTTGGACCTTATTCTTGAAGAAAACATGACAAAAAGTTTAAAGCACTTTTACAGGAGAGGCAAGAGAAATAGTTAAGCTCTAAATAATCATTTTTAATAATACACACACACACACACACACACACACACAAATATATATATATATATATATATATATATATATATATATATACATATATATATATATATATATATATATATATATATATATATATATATATATATATATATATGTATATATTATTTAAATGGACAAATTCTGACTGAAAAAAGTGTGAATGTGTTTAACGTTTGTTATTTGCTCAATAAATTACAATAGGTTTTAGTTTTTAATTTAAAACATTTTTTTCTAATAATTTATAATGTAAAACAATTGTGTTTAAAAATAAATATTTGCTATATTTCTTTTTTCTAAATATTTTTGGTTATAATGACAATTCGACAAGCTAATTTAGCTAAAAAAAATTTTTTTTCAAAAAGAAATTTTCATTTTTGCGTGAACTCTTCCTTCGAGACTTTTAGAAAACTAGCTCTTACCGTGGTCCAATCCCTCGTCAGGCTCTCGGAAACGGACCTTTCTTTTGGACACAGGTTTGGGAGCAGCAGGAGCTGAGCTGTTTTCTCCCTCCAGAGAGACTCTCCTCTTCAAAATGGACACGAGACCAGCAGCTGGAGTGATCTGACGGACACAAACACAGACAGACCACACGCTCTTCAGTCATTTACAAATCTCCAGAAAAGATGTGCGCTGACAGACTTTACCCACTAGAGGTCACTATAAGCTGCGTGGGCAGGTGATGTAAAATACACTGTTTTGCAAAGAACTGTTTTGTTCTGTGGTTTAGATATAAAAACCGTTTTGCAATGGGAGTTTGTGTAATGAATGCTTCAGTGAATCAAATTTATGAATTTATCTAAATTGCAGGTAATTTATTAATAAAACACACATAAGTTGTCAGTGTATTTTCAGTGTATGCTGACCTCTGATTAGCTGTTTTGGAGGGTTACTGTAGGTCAAAAGCAGTATGCTCTAATAGTATGCTATATATAGATATAAACATCTATGTTAAGAGGGAAGTGTCTTGTGAACACTTACCACGTATCTGTGCTCTCTATATCTGCCGATTTCACTGCTGAATGATTTTTTTTTGGCATAGACTGATTGGCGTGATTATGCAATCACAATAGTATGAACCGTTATAAAGGTGGTCAAATATATATTTATATCATCTACATACGATTAATATTTAATTTACAGACAAATAAAAGCTATTTCTCACCAGTGGACCACTATCATACATCTTGTTTTGACATCCTTCAGTAGGGAACAATTGTTAATCAAGGGGTTTAATCCCACCCAACCCCCGCTGTAATTTGCACCCTGTATACAAGTCTTTTAAAAAACCCTTCTCCACCTGTGTGCATTTACTGCATACAAAATTCTAAATAAACTGAATTAAACATAACATTTATAACATTATAACTTATAAAACAATCAAAAATATATTATTTTAAAGTGTTTACTTGTGTAAACATGGGTCAAACTTTTTATTAAAAACAATACATTTATAAATCTTGTATTTATTAAGAAATATTTAATTTCAAGCATTCATTCTTTAAATAAACTCTCTAACAGGTCATCATGTGCAGTACACATTCAGTCATCCATTTTACTTCGGATTAGTCCCTTTATTCATCAGGGGTCACCACAGCAGAATGAACCGCCAACTTATCCAGCATATGTTTTATGCAGCGGATACCCTTCCAGCTGTAACCCAGTATTGGGAAACACCCATACACACTCATTCACACACACACATACACTATGGCCAATTTAGTTTATTTAATTCACCAATGCATGTCTTTGGACTGTGGGAGAAACCCACGCCAACACAGGGAGAACATGCAAACTCCACACAGAAATGCCAACTGAACCAGCTGGGACTCGAACCAGTGACCTTCTTGCTGTGAGGCGACAGTGCTAACTACTGAGCCACCGTGTCGCCCGTGCAGTACACTGAATAATAATAATAAAAAAATAAAATAACAATACAAATAATTGCTATTAAAAATGCAAAACCATGCACATACACAACAAATCTGCATCATCTTGAGCAAGTACCTCGAATAAAACATGTCCTTTAATATTCAACGTTAAACAGGAATCCATTTGCTCAGCATTTGTCTGATCTGGGTTCAGCCCATCTCATAAATCATGCAGATGAGAATGAATGTATTGGAGACGCTCGGGAAAGAAGAGTCTGTTTTGTTACATCAGCAGCCAGTGAGCAATGGAAAAGGTCATGGAGAGGTCAGACTACTCAAAACCAATGAGTATACAATCAATACTGAATAACATGAATCTGAATATTAATGACATAAGTGTGTTACTGTTAATGAGAGCGTTAATGTTAGTTTGTTAATGGATTTTGTTAATTGAAATAATAGTGTAAAAAAAAAAGGAAAAAAAATACACACGTACGTACGCACACACATATATATATTAGATACTTAAAATAAAAAATATACATATTAAAATATTTGAAAAGAAACATCAGAAACGTTGCAAGTAATTGCCAGTATGTTTAAATTGAAGCACTAAAATTACTTCAAGTGAACAAAAATATTTTTAAATACAAAATAACTGTAATATTGATAATGGCACATCTTAACAAAATAATATTGACAAATGTAATGTTATGTAAAAAAGTAATATTTAAATAAATACAAATTTACTGTTTATATATATAACATTTTATACAATTTAACAATATTCCTTATTAAAATTGTTGTTTATTTTATTGGCATAATATAATTGCGTACGAATATTAACAGTATTCCCGCACTAAAGCATTAAAGAGAAGAAAAAGCACTTTTAAATTAATTTAAGCAAGAATAATTACTTTACATCATGCCATCAGTTTGTGCTTTTAAATACTAGTATTTTTAAAGGTGAAGAATGCAAGTTTGACACCCAGTGGTTGAACTAGGTATTGCACACTGGTTCAAAACATGCAAGAGCAGCTTGCCAGATTGACAACATAAACAGGAGCGAGCCTGTCTATCGAGCCTAAAGGCTGATTTAAGTCGTGTTCTAATTAAAAGCAACGACACGGGATAGAAGGAATATTCTCAGTATTAGAAGTTTTGTTCTAACCTTATTTAAGAAACGGTTTCCATTTCTTGCAGCTGAACAACGGAAATCTGACAATGGTCACCTCAGGTATACATGCGCTTTATTCAGTGTTAAATGCTAATAATGTGAGTTTGAATGCCATTTTATATCACATTTATTGCCATACTACTGAAAGCAGCAGCAGATAGTTCACCTCAAAATAAATTAAATCGTTTGAAATTGAACAGTAGAACTGTGACGAGCCAACACATATGAGTGATTCAGCACGAATATTTAATAATGGTAGAGAGGTTTAACATGTATTAATTAGATTATAAACCTTACCATTTCATTGGAGTACAGTAAGTGCACTATTGTGTGCTTCTAAACGGCTGTATTTAAATTACTGTCATGTTTTGTCTGGTGCAAACAGTTAAATCGCTTATCATAGTGTATCTCCTCATGTAGCATGTTGTTAGGACACAGGGTTACAATGTAAACTGCTCACCCAATGATTACGCTCATACAATTTATTTTATTTTCTAATTAACAACCACCTCATGTGGAACTCTGAATCTGCATCTCATTTCCAGAAGTGTCTGGCTGCAGAGTTGAACTTGAGTCGTTTGGCTTGCTCTCTCGGGCTTGCACGCTTAGGCACTCAAGCTTCCTATGCAAGTGACGTCAAATCTTGAAATCAACACAAATAAACCAACAGTAAGTTTCCAGTTCATTTGCGTTGACAGTGACAACATTGTGGAATAATTCTAAGTGGCCTACTTACGTTGTACAACATGACAGACCACCCCGGAAAGCAGTTAGTATATTCATCATGATTATATGCTTTGATGTAAATTTACCAAAGCAGGCTACTATTAACATTCATACCAGCAAAGCTTATTATTTATATCAATTAAAAATCATTCTAAATATACACAAAAGGAATACTTCCACAGTTTTGAATAAAGAAACACCAGGCAAATTTGAATGCTAGTTTTTATTTTTAAACATTTCTATGAGTTGTAGTATTACAACTAACAGATACTGTACACATTATGGACTTACAGCAATGATTCTTTAACGACTTGGGAAACTATTCTTTATAACTATTCTTGATAAGTTCGCACGTCTGCGCAGGAGTGCATCCATATGAAATCACAGTTGCAGAGCAGCTTCAATAGTCTCTACATGATCCCAGCCCAGTGTTATAGTTCCTCCAAACATAATGTCGAGATCGACTAAATAAGGCAATGACTCGCTTAATGGAAAGAAAGTAGCACAGATGATGTGTAACATTACTGCAGAGCTGTTGTAAGGCAAGCATTCGTGGTTCGTTACGATCTGTTTATGTAACTATAGCAACTGTGACGCCCGTTGCCGTATGTTGCCAGAAACCACAGTGAAATGCTTAGAAAAAAAGGCACTTGTGTAGGGGTGACATAAGATGTTTGTTGCAACGATCATAATGAAATCCGTTACCTCTGAGATTTTCCACCTCAGGGACACCCTCAAGTTAAATTACCTAAGGACTTTCATGCAAGCGGACACAGGTGGCGATCACTTGACGTCACTTGCAGAGGAAGCGCGGTTGCCTGAGTGTGCAAACCTGGAAGTGCAGGTGCAAATCTGCAGCCAGACTCTATTGCTCATTTCGGAGTCTGCTACTGTCCACTGGAGGTCACATTTCGGTCGCAGACACATACTTTTCTGTTTTCTATAATGCCAAGACAGGGTGCTGAAATATAATTGACTAAACTGGCATTGGACGGGTTGAAAAACCCAAAACAAAGATAGCCATTCTGGCAGGTAACACACATTTTCAAAGCATAATATCTGACTTTAGTATTGTTTCTCAGATAAAGAGAATGTTAACTTGGCATGTTTCTTCTATATACAGCACCTTTAAAAAATGAAAAAAAAAAAATAAAAATAAAAAACAGCTCAGGGTTGATTCTCTACCAAAAAACAACAACTTTCCTGTCAACTCATTTCACCCATATTTGGCCATCTCTGCCTCAACGAAAACAACAGTTTCAAGAACTGCAATTATAGTTTTCTATTTTTGCTCTAAAATAGCAGTTCCAGTTTTTCAGAAGAGACTAAAGCCAAAGATTTGGCTCAGTTGAAGAGGTTAAAAGCAGATAAAAAGACCCCACTGTATTTTCAATTACCTATAAAACACTGAAAGAACAATGCTTAAATGGAATAATAAACATTATTAAACCAATAAGCCACAACAGTGCGTTTTTACAGTACTTTGCTTAAAGACATTATGAGGCAAGCAAATAATACACAACATCTTTAATTATAAATTAGAGACTCAACCATCTGTTTTTTTTTAATCACTTGCTAAGATGATTATATATCATAAGGTAGAGGATTATATACTCACTGGCCACTTTATTAGGTATGCCTTACTAGTACCGGGTTGGACCATCCTTTTACCTTCAGAGCTGTCTTAATCCTTCATGGTATAGATCAGTGGTCACCAAACTTGTTCCTGGAGGGCCAGTGTCCTGGAGATTTTAGCTCCAACCCTAATCAAATACACCTGAACAAGCTAA